TCAATTCTGATGACGATTGTGATATGACGATGCTTCTGCTGCTAATGCTGATGCTGATGAATATGGTGATGGTGATTTTAGGAGGATGATGATACTGATGATACTGATGCTGATGCTGATGCTGCTGCTGCTGATGATGATGGTGGTGGTGATGCTGAGGAGGAGGAGGAGGAGGAGGAGGAGGAGGAGGAGGAGGAGGAGGAGGAGGGAAGAGTGATGGATGACGGACCAAGGAGGGCAGGGGAAGGGGCGGAAGACGAAGAGGACGAGGAAAAGGAGGAGGAGGAGGAATAGGAGGAGAAGGAGGATGAGGAGGATGATGAGGAGTAGGAAGAGGAGGAGGAGCGAGCGAGCGAGCGAGTGAGCGAGCGAGCAAAGGCCTAGAGGCGGTCGGAAGACAGACGGGCTCACAAGTTCCCCAACTTGGAACACCATCTCCACAAAGTCGTGGCTCGAAGCCACCCGCTCTGCTGGAAGCGGTTCTCCGGGCGAGGAGCCTGTGAACGCCGTGGCACAGGGGCCTCGGCCGTGGGTCGCGGCAGGGAGCGCAGAGCCTGCGCCATGCTCGTGCCCACCGACATGAAGCCGTCGCTCGCAGGGGAAGCGACGGAGGGGGTCCAACGGTGCTGGCGGCGCCATGAGGCCCAGCACCCCTCTGTTCACCATCGCACTCGTGAGGGGCAGGGCCGCATCGGCGCTGTCGGCGCCACGGCAGTGCAGCTCATCCCAGCGAGCTGCCGTCCAGGAGAAACAGGCTGTGCGACCCCAACACACAGGAAATCCCGGGCGAGAAACTCACCACTCCCTAGGGCCCAGGAATGGACACCTGCCGCGACACGAACGTGGCCAGCGGTCAGGATTTGAAGCGACGCTGACTCACCCCCTGCCCTGGCGGAACCCCTCGGCCCGAGTTCCAGGGCTGGCTGCGTGTCACCAGCACCGCTAGGCAGGACAGGCAAACACAACTCAACTTCCGAAGGAACACCTGCTTCATGAAAGCTCTCTTCTGCTTTCAGCCGTTTCCTTCCTCCTGAGTTCCACAGGATTCGAGTCTCAGCCTTCTCAGGCGCAGGTGAGTCTCTAGCAACGGAGACAGAGTACGCTGCCGCCGACCACTCATTGGACATACTTGGCCAGGGATCAAACACCGCACCAGCTCTAAAGGATGCCCTTTCCCGAACGTACTAGGGTCCAGCTGCCGAACATGAACGCACTCGGCTAACCAACATCGTAGTCAGCGTCCTGAGCATCGTCGGACTGACGTGTAGCTCCCAGCTCGAGCGCCTTGTCATAGGTGATACCGTGATCCAGGATAATGGCAGCAGTGTCACGGTGTCTCATCGGCTCGACCTTCCTCCGCCTCCGCTGCGGTTGCACGCAGTCTGGCACGTCACAAAGAGGGTCTCGACACGTCTTCTGCCTGCAGACTGCTGTGCGCACCGCAGCAACAGGTCTCCGAGGGGCAACAGCCGCAAGTGCTTGCGGAGGGCCTGCCGGTGGCACGGGTTCTCAAACTGTCTTGTTTCCTTCACGCGCCCACTGCCACTCTCTCTGCCGCAACCTACTAGGTCTGGCCCGTGGTGGGTAGGAGGAGTAGGAGGAGGAGGAGGAACAGGAGAGACACAATATTGACAATCATAAGGTGATGATGCGGGAGAAAAACCCAATCACAGTTTTTTTAGGGCTATAGGGCTATGGGGCTATTGGGCTGTAGGGCGATGGGGCTAACATGGGGCTATAGGGCTATGGAATTGTAGGGCCATAGGGCCATAGGGCCATAGGGCTATAGGTCTACAGGGCTATAGAGCTATAGGGCCATAGTGCTATAGGGCTGTAGGGCTATAGGGCTATGGGGCTATGGGGCTCTGGGGCTATGGGGCTATATGGCTATAGGGCTATAGGGCTATAGGGCTATAGAGATATCGGGCTCTAAGGCGATAGGGCTATAGGGCTATAAGGCTATACTGCTATGAGTCTACTGGGGTTCAGGGCTATAGGGCCATAGGGCTATTGGGCTATGGGGCTATTGGGCTATACGGCTATAGGGTTATCGGGCCATAGGGCTACAGGGCTATAGGGCTACAGGGCTATATGGCTATAGGGCTATAAGGCACCCGGGCACCCCGGCACCCGGGCGGGTCGCGGAAATCGGCGGCAAAGCTCACCAAACCTTATGAATCCGCTGGGACCCCTACAGGGGCAAGCTCTGGTTGGGGAAATGTTGACATTTAGTGAGAAGAAGGAAGAAGGAGGAGGAGGAGGAGGAGGAGGAGGAGGAGGAGGAGGAGGAGGAGGAGGAGGAGGAGGAGGAGGAGGAGGAAGGTGAGGAGCAGGAGGAGGAGGAGGAGGAAGAGCAGGAGGAGGAGGAGGAGGAGGAGGAGGAGGAGGACGAGGAGGAGAGGAGGAGGAGGAGGAGGAGGAAGGTGAGGAGCAGGAGGAGGAGGAGGAGCAGGAGGAGGAGGAGGAGGGAGGAGGAGGAGGATGAGGAGGAGGGAGAGGAGGAGGAGGAGGAGGAGGAGGAGAGGAGGAGGAGCAGGGAGGGAGACATGAATACGTAGGAGAAGAGAGGAGTGGGGGAGGAGGATGAGGAGGAGGAGGAGGAGAAGGAAACGAAGGAGGAGGGGAGGAGGAGGAAGAGGAGGAGGAGGAGGAGGAGGAGGGGAGGAGGAGGAGGAGGAGGAGGAGGAGGAGGAGGAGGGGTGAGGAGGAGGAGGATGAGGAGGGGGAGGAGGAGGAGGAGGAGGAGGAGGAGGAGGAGGAGGAGGACGAACGATGAGTAACAGCGAGGAAAGGGGGGAAGGAGGAGAGCGGTAGGAATGGAGGAATAAGGAGGACATCTCATGGTTGAGGCGTTCGTCAAGGAATGTGCCGAGGGTGCTTCAGACCCTGGAGGATCCTTATCTGATGCGGGCGGCGGTGAGGTCCATGGTCACTCCACGGTTGGAGGCTTAGAGCTCTACCCGGCTTTCAGATCCTGGGGTATTGATCAACTTTCCCCTAATACAGTGCCTTCACCGTGCTGAGGAGGACGATGGTGATCAAGATGATCGCCATCGTGGTGCTAATTGTGAGATGGCTGATGCTGCTGTTGGTGGTAATGCCGATGCCGACGCGTTTTAAGATGAGCATGGCGATGACGATGACGATGATGACGACGATGACGATGACGATCACAATGCTGATGATGATGCTGATGTTGGTGATGATGCTGATGATGCTGATGATAATGATGATCATGCTAATGATGTTGGTGGTGATGATGATGCTGATGATGATTGTGGTGGTGGTGGTCGTCGTGGTGGTGGTGGTAACGCCGATGATGATGCTGATGACGCTGATGATGATGACGAAGATGATGATGGTGGTGATGATGTTGATGACGACGATAATGGTGGTGGTGGTGGTGTTGACGATGATACTGATGCTGACGATGCTGATGATGGCGATGACGATGATGATGATGAGGATGATGCTGATGATGCTGCTGCTGATGATGATGATGATGATGATGAGGGTGGTGATGATGATGATGATGATGATAATGTCGGTGGTGGTGGTGGTGGTGGTGAACATGGGTGACGATCGGTGATGATGCTGCTGATGATGACGATCATAATGATGATGACTCTGATGATGACAATGATGCTGATACTGCTGATGCTGATCATGATGATGCTGCTGATGATGATGCTGCTGCTGATGATGCTGTCCATGATGATGATAATGATGTTTGTTATTCTGATGGTGCTGCTGATGATGCTGTTGATGATGATGCTGCTGCTGATGATGATGCTGATTGTGCTTATGATTACTATTATTACTGTGAGTATTGTTGATACTTTATTCATACTAACGTACGTACATCTTATCTTAATGATGATGAATATTGTGATGATGATGACGATGCTGATCACGATTATGATTACGATTATGCTGATGATGCTGATGATGACGATGATGACGATGATGATGATGATGATGATGATGATGATGATGATGATGATGATGATGATGATGATGATGGTGATGGTGATGCTGATGATGATGATGATGCTGATGCTGATGCTGATGAGGATCATGAGGTATTATTGCCACTACTACTACAATTATCATTATCATCAGCATTATTACTAGCGTTATGATTACGATTATGATGGTCGTGCTGGTGGTGGTGTTGATGATGACAGTGATGACGACGAAGATGATGATGAGGCGGAGCAGGGCTACTGGAGGCGGGAGATGAGGATGATGATGCGGAGGTGGAGGAGGAGGCGGATGGGGTGGGGTGGGTTGGGAGGGAGGGAGGGAGGAGGAGCGGAGGAGCAACGATGGAGGATAATATAGTGAAGGAGAAGGGGAAAGAGAGGGAGGGATGTACGAAGGGAGGAGGAGTGGGGACGACGACGACCACCACAACGACGACGAGGACGATGACGACGACTACGATGGCAGCGACGACGGTGATCACGGGGACGCCGACGGTCATCACGACAAAAGCGACTAGGAAGACGGCGACGACGATGGAGACGATTACGGTGGCGATCGCGACAACGACGACGCTGACTACGGCGAGGACTACGACGACAGCGCTTACGGCAACTATGTTGACGCTGACGCCGACGACGCCGACGCCGACGCTGACGACGACGGCGGCGACGGTTGTGGTGACGACGTGAACGACGCCTGGCGACCGACGGCCAACGCTTGGCGACCCAGGGCCGACCGACCGTCCGACGACCGAGGCTCGCCTCCCGGGTCTCCAGAGGCCCCCGCGGGCCTGCGAGAGGCCCCAGAACAGGCCGAGAAGCGCCCCGGAGCCCCGACCCGCGAACCTCGATGCTCGTCGCCTCGACCCTCGAGCCTTGATCCTCGTCGTCGTCGCCGTCGCCCCGATTCTCGAGCCCCGATCCCTGTTGTTGCCTCGATCCTCGCAGCCCCGGTCCTCGTCGTCGCCGCCGGACGCGCGGCTGCCCGCTCGCCGCGGGACGCCGAGCGCAGAGGCAGAGGTCGCTCCTGGAGAGGGCACTGGCCGTCGAGGAGAGGTGCTACGGTGACGCCCACCCGGAGGCCTTCGCGCTCCGCCGCCGCCGCCGTTGTCGTCGTCGTCGTCGTCGTCGCCGCCGCCGCCGCCGTCGTCGTCGTCGTCGTCGCCGCCGCCGCCGCCGCCGCCGCCGCCGCCGCCGCCGCCGTCGTCGTCGTCGTCGTCGTCGTCGTCGTCGTCGTCGTCGTCGTCGTCGTCGTCGTCGTCGTTGTCGTCGCCGTCGTCGTCGTCGTCGAGCGATCGATCGACCGAGAATCGACCGATCAAGAACGGATCATGGATCGATGGTCGAGACAGCAGGGTGCTCTTGAGCCAGAGGGCCCCGTGGAGCCTTCCAGCGGCCCCTTTGGGGCCACTGGAAGCCTCGGGGGATCCCTGTACGCCCCTCGCATGATTGCCCCTCGTCCCCGCGCACTGCATCCTCGCACGTTCACTGAACAATTTGGAGGACTTGTGTACCAACCCTCCTGTTCTTGGTTGTCGTGTTGAAAGAGCGCTGCAGCTCCTCCTCTCCTCCCGCATCCTCCCTCCGTTCTCCTCCCTCTTGCCCCGTCGCCTACTCTTCGCTTCGTCGTGGGCTCCCTTGGTGCTGCCAACTGCGCCACTGCTGGCGCTTTTGTGATCGCCTGGGAGGCCACCGGCGGGGCTACGGGGACCCACACGAGACCTCGCGTTCCTTGGGTGCCTGAAATTGCGTAGCAGTCGCCGCCGTTGTGATCAGCTGGGGGCCCAGGTGGGTGACGTCCTACGCATGCCCAAGCGGGTTCGCCCCCCTGGGTGTTGCCACCTGCGCAACTGTCGTCATCTTTGTGGGCTGTACCTCGTCGCTGGAGGGTCATCTTCGGCGCCGGCTATACGACATGGACGGGCGCTGGTTGCACTTGGACGCCGTGTTTCCCAAGGCCACGACCTCGAGCAACTTGCTTGTGATCCGCGACAGGGGGCTGAAGTTTCTTTCCCGAGGTCCGCCGCGGATCTGGCGGCGCACTCGCGGACGTTCAGTGCCCACGCAAACAATAGCAGTAAATAAGCCTAGACGTGCGCGGGCGAGCTCGACGTGAGTAGGCCCTCCTGCGCGGCTGGGTCGCCCGCGGGCGCACCAGCGCGCTCATGTGCTTCTCTGCGCGCGTCGCGCCGACGCAGGGGCGCGCGCGGCTGCGATTTTTCAGTGACCGCACGGATTGTCGCAGGTTGAGGCCGCGATGGTGCCTGTAAGCTTCGGCCCAGGGTGGTTGCTTCAGGGTGCGTGTGATAAGACCACGTCCGCCTGCGCCGATCGCTGGCCGTTCGTCCTCGCCCTCCGCGCCGTCCTCTGTCTCCTCCTTGTGGTGGTGCTCGTCCGCCGTCTTTGCCCATGTCCGCCCATCTTCTCATGCCGTTCATTTACAGTGGAGACCCATGCCAAGAAACGCCCTGCTCGCCTCTAGGATGCCATGGTTTTTTTGGGTTTCAATGGTTTGGCTATGGAGGGCTTGGCGTTCCCACGCCGAAACTCAATGGACGTCCTGGGGTCTCAGTGGAAGGCTTCTTGTGGACTCGCCTCCACTGTAGGAGGATCGTGTTTCTGTCTTTCGTCGCCATGGCCTCTTTGCCTGCGTCGCGTCATGCAGGCCATGCGGGGCCGCCTCCCTCCATCCCCTTTTCAGCCAATCTCCCTCCCAGGCTCTTTCCCTCGTCTCGGGGTCCCCGTTCTTCGCTCCTGCTCCTCTTTCCCCCTCGCCTTTTACCGAGCCTCCTGCCTCCTGCTTGTCGCTCTTCCTCCTCCCCCTCCTTGCCTCCCCTACCTCGTGCTGCCTCTCTCCCCTCGTGCCCCTGCCCCCTCCTCGTCCTCCTCCTCTTCTGCCCCTTCTTCCCTTCCCCTCCCGCCACCTCCCTCTCCTGGGTGACGTGCGCACGCCCTTTCCCCCGCCCCACCCCCCGTGCGCTTCCTCGCGCGCAGCAGCGCGCGCGCGCGTTGAGGGCCCAGGCGAGGATGATGCTGCTGCTGCTGATGATGATGATGATGACGAGGATGATGATGATGATGATGATGATGATGATGATGATGATGATGATGATGATGATAATGATGATGATGATGATGATGATGATGATGATGATGATGATGATGATGATGATGATGATGATGATGATGATGATGATGATGATGATGATGATGATGATGATGATGATGATGATGATGATGATGATGATGAGAGGATGAGGAGGAGGAGGAGGAGGAGGAGGAGGAGGAGGAGGAGGAGGAGGAGGAGGAGGAGGAGGAGGAGGAGGAGGAGGAGGAGGAGGAGGAGGAGGAGGAGGAGGAGGAGAGAGGAGGAGGCGGAGGAAGAGAGAAGAGGAGGAGGAGGAGGAGGAGGAGGAGGAGGAGGAGGAGGAGAAGGAGGAGGAGGAGGAGGAGGAGGAGGAGGAGGAGGAGGAGGAGGAGGATCAGGAGGGAGGAGGAGGGAGGAGGAGGGGAGGAGGGAGGGAGGAGGAGGAGGAGGATGGATAGGAGGAGGTGGAGGAGGGAGGAGGAGGAGGAGGAGGAGGAGGAGGAGGAGGAGGGATAGGGAGGAGGAGGAGGGGGAGGAGGCGGGCTCCAGAGGTCCCCAGCAGTCTCCAACACGTTTTTTTGTTTGCGTGTCGCAATTTCTTTGAGTAGTGCCACAGGCCTCGTGGACCAGCATCCTTGAAACCTGTGATTGTCATCGAAGAAGGAATCGAACCCAATGGGTAACCAATGATCCTTGCGACCCCCCCCAAAACAAAAAGACAAACATCCTCGCTCGCAGGAAAGGCCGTCCCCTTCCAACACCTCTCTCGTATGGGCGTATGGTTGTCTCGAAGTAGGTTTCTCTTCTCCCCCCGCTTGCATCCAATCCAGCAGCCCGACAACTTATGACTTACATGGTTTTTGGAACCCTCACAGGGGTTACGTAACCCTCACAGAAATCGTCGGCTTACTATTTGCCGTTTTAAGTGTAAGCTGTTTGTTCACAATGTGATATGTTTGTTTTCAGTCGTATGTATGTATGGTTGTTTTGAACTGTTGACGCTGCGCATAACCTCACCAACCCATCCAGAAACGATGTCCATGGGAGTTGAGGTGGTCAGGGAAGTGGGGGAGCATGCAGAAGAACAGAGGGCGGGGGAAGCCGTCGGATACCCCTAAGAGGGGGAAGATGGAAGAGGAATCGTCGTCGTCGTCGTCGTCGTCGTCGTCGTCGGGGGAGGAGGAGGAGGAGGAGGAGGAGGAGGAGGAGGAGGAGGAGGAGGAGGAGGAGGAGGAGGAGGAGGAGGAGGAGGAGGAGGAGGAGGAGGAGGAGGAGGAGGAGGAGGAGGAGGAGGAGGAGGAGGAGTAGGAGGTGGGGGCGGAGTAGGGCGAGGACGAGGAGGACGAGAAGGAGGAGAAGGAGACGAAGGAGGGAGAGTTGGGTTTCTCGGGGATCCTCTTAATGCCTGTATGGGCTCTCTTGGAGGCCCCTTGGGCGCCTCTCGGGGCTGCCTGGGCGCCTCTTGGGGCCCTCCTGGGCCGCTCTTGGGGGCTTTATGGGCGCTCTTGAGGCCATCTTGGAGGACATCGATCAACCACGAGGGGAGGTTCAATTAGCGTCCCCCCTCGGGAGCACCGACAATCGCCTCCTGGACCCCCTCTTGGAGCGCTCGTGGGGCGCTCTGGGGCGCTCTTGGGGCCGTCTTGGGGCTCTCTTGGGCCTCTCCTGGGGCACTCTTAGGCCATCTTGGAGCCATCTTGAGGCCTCGGGAGGCCATCGGAAGCGAACAGGCGAGACAGCAAAACATATTAATGGTTCTTCGGATTTGGACGGATTTTGGCTTCTTGGAGGCCTCCTGTAAGTATTCTGATGCCTTTTGAAGCCGTCTTGGAGCGTTCTTGGGGCCTCTTGGAGCATCTTGGGAGCCGACTTGAGGCATCTTGGGCTGTCTTGAGCCATCTTGAGGTCATCTTGGGCTCTCTGAGGCCCTCTTGGAGCACTCTTGGGCGAACACGTACCCTCTGACACCTTGCGGAGCGCCCCGTCCAGGTCCGGGGGAGGGGGTATGGGGGAGGGGTGAACCCCTCCCCGAAGGGGAAGAAGGGGGTTGGAAGAGGAAACTCCCTAGACCACCTACGCCCAGAGGGCTGGTGGGATTCTGTGGATTTCGGAGGGCCTCCATGTTCTCATGGGTCTGGATTCCTCGTTGTTTTCCATTCATTGTTTGTGAAACTGGCGTTGGTCTCAATCGTATGGGTTTCTGTTTTGTTTACGTGTTTGGGTTTCTGAGTCTTTGGCACTTGTATGTTTTTGCTTGTTTTGCAGAGTATTGATATATTATTGCTTGCAATTGTACTTCAGTGCGTGTAGTACATAGATCGGCATAACTGTAGATGTCTCTCTCTCTCTCTGCCTCTCTCAGTCTGTCTGTCCCTCTCTCGCAGTCTTTCTGTCTCTCTCTCTCTCTTTCTTTCTTTCTTTATTTATTTCTCTCTCTCTCTCTCTCTCTTTCTTTATTTTTTCTCTTTGTCTCTCTCCCTCTCTCATGATTGCCCCCCCTGGGGGGGGCGCGGGGGCGGGGGTGGGTGGGTGGGTGGGTGGGGTAGTATATACATGTATTATACCTATTTTTATACACAGATGTATGCATGCATATATGTATACATGTATGAACGTATGCATGCATGCATGCATGCATGCATGCATGCATGCATGTATGCATGTACGCATGCATGCATGCATGTACGCATGCATGCATGCATGCATGCATGTATGTATGTATGCATGTATACATGTATGTATGTATGTATGTATGTATGTATGTATGGATGGATGGATGGATGGATGGATGGATGCATGTATGTATGTATGTATGTATGTATGTATGTATGTATGTATGTATGTATGTATGTATGTATGTATGTATGTGTATACATATTTATATATGTGATCGTATGTATAGCTGTCTGCATGCATGTATGACTATATGTATGTCTATATGTATGTATAGCTATATGTATGTCTATATGTATGTATGTATGTATGTATGTATGTATGTATGTATGTATGTATGTATGTATGTATGTATGTATGTATGTATGTATGTATGTATGTATGTATGTATGTATGTATGTATGTATGTATGTATGTACGTATGCATGTATGTATGTATGCATGCATGCATGCATGCATGCATGCATGCATATATACACACGCGTGTGCGCGTGCTTTTTTTTGGTGTTTCGTTTTGTGTGTGCGGGTCTCTCGCTCGCCGCCCACGCCCGGGTGGCCCACGGGCGGCTGATCCCATGGGGCCCCGCGTCTGAGGGCCTGGCCGCGAGCGTCAGCTCCGTGCTGCTCGCCCGAGCTGCTTCGCCCCCGTCGCTGCGCGCGAGGCCGCGATCGCCCAATGTGTGCGTGTCCTTCCGTGCATTGCGGACCTCATTTCGGAGGAGGAAGAGGTACCCATGCCTCCACTCCTTCGCCCCTTGTCCCCTTTTTCGGGGCCTCCTGGGAGGCCCTCGTCGCCACCGCTGGATCCGCCTCGACATCCTGGTCAGAGCGCACCCCGGGAGATGTCCGAGGAGTAGCAGTATCGGTACCTTTCGGGGGCGGCAAAGAGGGGGGTGATGACCAGGGGGGGGTGGATATCATGGCGGGAGCCATGATATTTCCACAGATGTCATGGCGCCTCTTCTCATTTCATTACGTCCCTGGCCCCCCCACTGGGCCGCGCACATGCCGCCAGTCATGATTTGCCCCCCCCCTCTTGGACGCCCCCCTCTTGGCCGCTCCCGACAATGGGGTCCCCGGATCGCCGAGCGCGATGCGACAGGAGCGTGTGTTTGGTCACCCCGCGGCCCCCACAGAGCCGCGCACCAAAGGTCACTCTTACCCAGGGTCACTCTTGCGTGTAGCCCATATCCGCCAGAGCAGTCGCCCTCTGCCCAGCCGCCGACGCAAAAAGTGCGTGTGTGTGTGTGAGTGTGTGTGTGTGTGGCTGCCCATATTGGGTTTCGTGGCCCTCGTGCCTGTTTCACAGCACCACCTTCTGCCGCCCCTGGTCGTCGATGCCCGTCGCCACGGCGGTCCTGACCTTTTTGTTCTCGGGCTCCGGTCCTCCTTCCTCTGGCCCCCTCGCCGCCCTGTGCGCTGGCCTCCTGCCTGTTTGCTCCTCGACCTTTCCCTGGGTGCCCCTGGCTCCGGCTCCTTGCCAACGGGGCCCGAGGGAGGGGGAGGAGGAGGAGGAGGAGGAGGAGGAGGAGGAGGAGGAGGAGGAGGAGGTAAGGGGAGGAGGAGGAGGAGGAGGAGGAGGTGGGGTGGGAGAGGAGGAGGGGGAGGAGGAGGAGGGAGGAAGGAGGTAGGTGGAGGTGGAGGAGGAGGGAGGAGGGAGGTAGGGAGGAGGAGGGGGGAGGAGGGAGGAGGAGGAGGGAGGAGGGAGGCGCACGCAGCGGCGCCTGCGCCGCGCTTCGCGCAAGCCCTGCGCTTCGCGCACGTCCGCGGCTGATCGAGCGAGGTTGCATTGGCACTCCGCCCGTGACTCTCAAGGGCGCTACCCGACACCCTGGACTCGCGTCCGTGGTGCGGGCCGCCCGTCCCCGCGACGCCTCCTCCCTCCTCCTCCTACCTCCTACCTCCTCTTCCTCTACTCCTCCGTTCCTTTCTTTCCCATCCTCTCTCCTCCCTCTCCTCCTCCTTCTCCTCCTTCCTCCTACCCTCCTCCTCCTCCTTCCTCTCCTCCCTATCCCTCCTCCTCCTCTTTCCTCCTCCTTCCCTCCCTACCCCTCCTCCTCCTTTCTCCTCCTCCTCTCCCTAATCCCTCCTCCTCCTCCTTCCTCCTCCTCCTCCTCCTCCTCCTCCTCCTCCTCCTCCTCCTCCTCCTCAGTCTCCTCCTCCTCCTCCTCCCTCCTCCTCAGTCGCCTCCTCAGTCTCCCTCTCCCGTTGCTCGACCCGACGCCCGCGTGCGGGCGTCCGCTCGCTTCGAAAAAGTGCTGGGCCGCGCTCCGCGGGACCCTCCCAGAATCCGCCGCAGTGGCGGCAGATGCGCAGGTGGCAGCATCCAGGGAGCAACCACGACCCCCTCGAGGAATGAAAAAATCAGGACGGGAGGTTTTTCCTAATTTTCGGCCTCCGGGGGCCCTCGCCGGGCCTCGGGAGCGTCAGGAAACGACTCAGGATGAAAAGCCGGTCATGGGAAAAGGGTCGGGACCTCTGGGGGTCGACGTGATGAAAATCATTACGTCGGGGGTCTGGGTCCTCAGGCTTCTCAAAGGGTTCGGGGGTGGGCAGACCTCCTACCCTGACACGTCGATCAGTGAATCGGCCGTTTTCGGTTCGCGGCAGGGCGTCGCGGCCGTCATTTTTGCGGGTCCAGGTCCGTCGGTTTCGGCCCCAGGCCGTTTCCACAAAAGGGAGGTTTGCTAAAGGGAGGTTTGTCCACCGCCGATAAGTGCCTGCCTGGCTGCACTTCCCTGGCCCTCCTGGGAGGGCTGTGGTGAGACTTCCCTCTCTGGCCTTCGGCGTGTGTCCTTGCCATCGTCGTCGCAGCGTTGGACCCCCTGCGCATGTGCACACATGCACACTCATTTGGTCGTCGAGAGCCGGGGCGCACCAGATCGCAAACGCGCGCGAAGCGTGCGCGTGGTTCCAGTGCACATGTCGGGGGGACCAGGGCCAGGGGTCCCCCGGGCCAGAGCTTCGACTGGAGACTGGTGCTCCGGGGGTGTCGTCGAGCTCCCTTGGAGCCACCGGGTGTCCTCACAGAGGCCTGCGAGAGCCCCAGGACTGTTCAAGAGCGCTGCAGGACAGCCCGAGGGGGCCCGAAGAACCCCCCAAGGGAGCCTCAAGAGGCCAAACTTGTACATTTCCTTTCGGTTTTTGAGGTTTCCGGCGTTCTCGCTTTTTCGGCCTCCTGACCGCCCACAGCGGCCCGAGGGGCCTCCCGCGTCGCCCCAAGACCACCCCCAAATCCCCCAAGAGGACCCCAAGAGGATCCCAAGACGACCCCAAGGCGGCCCAAGAGAGCCCCGAGGCGGCCCAAGAGGGCACCAGTAGGGCGTCCAAGATGGCCCCCAGGCGGCCCCAGAGCCCCCCAAGACAGCCCAAGAGGACCCCAAGACGGCCCTGGCGCCCCGAGGGGCCCCCCAAGTCGCCCCTCTTTTGTCGAAGTGGCCCCTAAGAAGGCCCCAAGGCAGCCCAAGAGGGCCCCAAGACGGCCCGAGAGAAGCCTACGGCGGCCCAAGAGAGCCCCAGGAGAATGTGCAACACATTTCTGCTTCCCCAATAACCCTGCTTCCAGAATATTCGCCCGAACAGTTCGAAGAACTCATGCGACGGCCCCCCCTCACCCGAGGGTAGCCCCGAAGTTCCGGAAGCTTTCCCTTATCACATTCATCAGGATCGATGATCCCCAGGACGTGTGTTAGCCCAATGTATGTTTACCCCCTTCAGCCCAACCAGTCGATCATTACATCGCCTGCGTCGTATCGAAGGGCCTCGGTGGACAACACACACGTTGGGGCTAGCACACGTTCTGAGAACCATCGACAGGAGCGAGCGCGCAGTGCGTTCTAGCGTTCGGGATGTGGGGATGGCAATGCAGTCAGTGGTGGGTTGCTGCAGGAAAGAGGAGGGAGGGGAGGGGCAGGGAGCCTACCGGGCTCCTCTGTCATCCTTTCTGCAATCCGTCACCTCGGAGGACGAGTGTCTTGATGGCGATGATCAGGGTGATGCAGCTAAGGATATATACATATATATATATAGAGAGAGAGAGAGGGAGAGAGAGAGAGAGAGAGAGAAAGAGGGGATAATAAACACAAAACAACGTGGGAGGTGGGATGCGATGGCGGCGGAGGATGAGGAACGAGAGAACTAGATCTGGGGAAATTGAACAAGACTGGGGTGGATGATGAATGATGGAGGGAGGGGGTGAGAGAAAGAGAGAGAGAGAGAGAGAGAGCAAGAGAGACCGAGAGAGAAAGAGAGAGCGAGAGGGACATATATATACACACACATTTATACATATAGCGATCGATCGATCACGGAGAAAGAGGATCACATGAATATGAGCAGAGGAAGCATTCGACGAGACATGGTGATGAGAACTGGCCGGAGAAGAGGGGACTGAACAGGATGACGGTCATGCGCATGGCGAGGTCGATGACGGCCCTCGCTCTGGCGATCTGTGGCGAGTGGGCTCCGAGATTTGGCTCTGACCCGTCCGTCGTTGAGCCGCTGCCCCCGTCTGCGCTGATACCGAAGCGCGCGCGAAGCGCGCATGGTTCTAGCGTGAGTATGTGTGTGTGTATATATATATGTGTGTATGTGCAGGCGCACAAGCTTATTTTTGTTGGCGATCATTCGTATGTGTGTGTGTGTGTGTACCGCCTGATCCCGAGGCTTTGCCTCCTCCCGGCCTCGTTCTGAGGCTGCGCCCCCTTTTTCCTCCCCCATCTCTGGTCAATTCAAGCTTCGCGCGGCCCGCTTAGCTTCGACCGGAAGAGGTGCGTCTCGACCCGCGAATCAAAAAAGTGTATGTGCAGGCGCACAAGCTTATTTTTGCAGGCGATCATTCGTGTGTGTGTGTGTGTGTGTGTGTGTGTGTGGGTGGGTGGGTGTTTTTTGGGGGGTGGGGTGGTGGGGGGTGGGTTCTCTCTCTCTCTCTTTCTCTCTTTCTCTCCCCTTCTCTTCTGGTGGTGCTCCACAGAACGGGTTGCCGCTGGGCATGTTTACCCATATTTTGTATCAGGGCCGACGGGGCGTTGCGCTGCGGAGCAATCGGCTCCTCCTTGGGGACGGGTTTGTCATCGTGGTCTATTTTTTGTTTGATCCCAGAGCCGGAAACTGCCTCCATGCGCCAGACATGGCAAAACACGCCCGCCTCGATTTTTCCATGACGTTGGGGTTCTAGAGGTGAGGGGGTGTAGGAGGAGGAGGAGGAGGAGGAGGAGGAGGAGGAGGAGGAGGAGGAGGAGGAGGAGGAGGAGGAGGAGGAGGAGGAGGAGGAGGAGGAGGAGGAGGAGGAGGAGGAGGGTCCCTTCTCTGAGGTCGCGATGACACTCGCGAACCTCGGGGTCGCGTGCGGCGAGCTGGGGGACCACTGCCGGGAGAGGGAGCTGCTGGAGATCAGCATCGTCTAACCAGTCCCTGTCCCCGCTGGCCCATGGCATTTCAGCGCCCCGCGAAATCCCAAGGAGAAAGCATATGTCTTCACCCAGGGAGGTTGAGTCGGCCAACTGGGCCAGGGTCATCCCCAATCGCCCATTCATAGCCGACAGGGGCCCGCTAGCTGACCCCGCCCGGGAACGTGCGCATTCGCTGTCGGGGGCCTATCGCCGATGCATCGGCGATGTACCGCCGATTCCAGGTTCATGCTCCCCTCCTTGAGCCGGGCCCCCCCCCCCCCGAACATTGCCCCTCCCCAGACCCCCGACGTAATGATTTTATCATTGCGTCGACCCCCAGAGGTCCCAGCCCTTTCCCCGTGACAGGCTTTGCATCCTGAGTCGTTTTTGGACGCTCCCGAGGCCCGGTGAGGGCCCCCGGAGGCCGAAAATTCGGAGAAACCTCCCGTCATGATGTTTTCATTGCCCGAGGGGGTCTGGGAGCATTGCCCCTCAGGAGAGGGCCCTGGAGATCCAGGAGCGTGCCTACGGCCCTGATCACCACGCCGTGGGCACCACGCTCGCCAACCTGGGCAACGCCCACGGCCGGCTCGGAGACCCTGGCCGGCAGAGGGAGCTCCTGGAGCGCGCGCTGGGCATCCTGCAGGCGTTCCACGGCCCGGAGCCCCGAGGAGGAGGAGGAGGAGGAGGAGGAGGAGGAGAAGGAGGAGGAGGAGGAGGAGGAGGAGGAGGAGGAGGAGGAGGGAGGAGGAGGAGGGAGGAGGAGGAGGAGGAGGCGGAGAGGAGGAGGAGGAGGAGGAGGAGGAGGAGGGAGGAGGGAGGAGGAGGGAGGAGGGAGGAGGGAGGAGGAGGAGGAGCGAGGTGCTGGTAAGTACCCTGGTGGGGGAGAGCGCCTTGGCCAGAGTCAGGGCGGGGGTTCTCCGCCGCGTTCGGCCCCGGGGGGGCCGTCGCCGGACCTGCAGGACCGTGAAAGAACGACCCAGGGCGCCACGCGGGTCTCGGGGGCCCACGTCGGAAGGGGCCCTGGGACGCGCAAATAAATACACACAAATAAAAGGATTCCCCATATTTTCCTACATCTTCTGGGTTTTTGCCTTCCCCCCTCTTCCCAGATGTTCCCATTTTTTCTTGGGAATGGACGATTACTTCTATCTGTGTGTGTTTTCCCCTCCTGAACTTCAGGGGTCGGGGCTTCCGGGGAGCGCGTGTTGAAACGGTTGCCTCAGTTCAGCGAGCAAAGAGCGGTATAAAATAAGCTTTTTCGCCGTCGGGGGCGCCTGTCCCAGGGCGTCTGGAAAGTTTGTACCCCTACGGTGCCACCGTAGGTGTATAAACTTTCCAGCCGCCCAGGGACAGGCGCCCCCGACAGCGAAACAGTTTATCTTGTACCGTTCTTCGCCCGTTAATCAACGGGCCCCCCTCCGAGTAATAGCCCCAGCTGGCCTCAGAAGGCCCCTCGAGCAGGCCAGGGCGGTCTTAACGTCCCGTCGCCGCCTCCAGTGGCGCCCCTGGGGTGCTCCGCGCCCCAGGGCTCAAGTCGGGCCTGTCCCTCTAAAGGAGGAATATTCAAAAATAGTCAACAAGTAGTCGGGGGACGATTTTTTCGGGAGCTTTTTGAAGTGTATGCTTAATTTTTCGTCCAAGATCCCCCTGTAGGTGGACATGCCCGACATAACCCAAGGCTGGGGTGTTGAGACCACCCTGGACCACTCGGGGGCGAGACCAGCTGCGACACAGGGGGCCTGTCGAGGCCAGCCGCGACTACCTGGGGGGTCTGTCTGTGCGCAGCCCGAAGCCTCACCGCCTCGTTTTCTGCTTTTTGGCCTCTGGGGAGGTCCTCGTCGCCGCGGCTGGATTCGCCTCGAGATACCGGTCAGAAGGCACCCCAAGAGAGGTCCAGGGAGTAAACTGAGATTGGACGTCACGCAAACACCGCGAAACAGCTCGCGACCAAAGCCCTGGACCCCATCTTTTTGCTGCACTTTGCGATACCGATCGTTCCATGAGGGATCCTGGGCCCGAAACACGGCTAAATCGCGCGTTGCGATAAAATTATCCCGGCAAAGCAACCTAACAGCGATGTGTATAAGCATATCTGGAAGCATTCCCCTTAAGATTCAGGTGAGGATCCAATTGTAGAATTCTGCTGTTCTCGCAGTCGCAGTCGCATTCGCAATGACAGTCGCAGTGGCAACGGCCTTAGGATCCAATGAAATCCTAAGGATTCCTAGGGATTCCTAAGGCATCCTTAGGCATCCTTAGGAATCCACAGGAATTCTCATGAAACCTTAGGAATCCTTAGGAATCCTGATTCCTAGGGATTCATAGGGATCCCTAAGGATTCCTGAGGAATCCTAAGGGTTCCTAAGGATTCCTGAGGATGCTTAACTATGCCTACGGATTCCTAAGGATGCCTACGGATTCCTAGGGATTCCTAGGGATTCCTAGGGATTCCTAAGGATTCCTATGGATTCCTACGGATGCCTCAGTTTCAGCCTCAGCCTCAGCCTGCCTCGGCTTGCCTCAGCCTCAGCCTCAGCCTGCCTCGGCCTCAGCCTCAGCCTGCCTCAGCCTCAGCCTCAGCCTGCCTCGGCCTCAGCCTGCGTCAGCCTCAGCCTCAGCCTGCCTCAGCCTCAGCCTCACTCAGCCTCAGCCTCAGCCTCAGCCTGCCTCGGCTTGCCTCAGTCAGCCTCAGCCTCAGCCTGCCTCGGCCTCAGCCTGCCTCAGCCTCCCCTCCTCCCCCCCCCTTCCCCCCCCCTTCCCCTTTCACCCCCCCCATTCAGCCTCACCTTGTCTCAGCTTCGGCCTGCCTCGGCCTCGGCCTCAGTCTCAGCCTCAGCCTGTCTCGGCCTCAGCCTGCCTCGGCCTCAGCCTCAGCCTGCCTCAGCCTCAGCCTGCCTCAGCCTCAGCCTCAGCCTCAGCCTGCCTCAGCATCAGCCTGCCTCAGCCTCAGCCTGCCTCTGCATCAGCCTCAGCCTTCAGCCTCAGCTTGCCTCAGCCTCAGCATCCTACCTGCCTCCAGCCCTCAGCCCTCATCAGCCAGCCTCAGCCTGCCTTCAGCCTCAGCCGTCAGCCTGCCTCAGCCTCAGCCTGCATCAGCCTCAGCCTCAGCCTCAGCCTTCAGCCTCAGCCTCAGCCTGCCTCAGCCTCAGCCTCAGCCTGCCTCAGCCTCAGCCTCAGCCTCAGCCTCAGCCTGCCTCAGCCTGCCTCAGCCTCAGCCACAGCCTGCAGCCTCAGCCTCAGCCTGCCTCAGCCTCAGCCTGCCTCAGCCTCAGCCTCAGCCTGCCTCGGCGTGCCTCAGCCTGCGGCAGCCTCAGCCTCAGCCTCAGCCTCAGCCTGCCTCGGCCTCAGCCTCAGCCTCAGCCTGCCTCAGCCTCAGCGTCAGCCTCTCAGCCTCAGCCTCAGCCTCAGCCTGCCTCAGCCTCAGTCTCGGCTGCCTCAGCCTCAGCCTGCCTCAGCCGCAGCCTCAGCCTGCCTCGGCCTCAGCCTGCGTCAGCCTCAGCCTCAGCCTGCCTCAGCCTCAGCCTGCCTCAGCCTCAGCCTCAGCCTGCCTCGGCGTGCCTGAGCCTCGGCCTCAGCTTGCCTCGGCCTCAGCCTGCGTCGGCCTCAGCCTGCTTCGGCCTCAGCCTGCCTCAGCTCGGGCATTCAAAATATGGCACAGGACTTGTGTTCTGGGAACACGAAGATCACGAAATGGCCCACAGTTGGCTCCGGGCAATCAAAATATGGTACAGGCATGGTGTTGTGGGAACACGAAGAACACGAAGTGGCCTAGAGTTGGCTCTGGGCATTCAAAATGTGGCCTGGGAATGGTGTTTTGGGAACACGAAGAATACGAAGTGGCCTACAGTTGGCTCCGGGCATTCAACATGTGGCCTGGGAAAGGTGTTCTGGGAACACGAAGATCACGAAGTGGCCTACAGTTGGCTCCGGGCATTCAAAATGTGGCCTGGGAATGGTGTTCTGGGAACACGAAGAACACGAAGTGGCCTACAGTTGGTTCCGGGCATTCAAAATGTGGCCTGGGAATGGTGTTCTGTTGGCTCCGGGCAGTCAAAATGTGGCTCCTGGCAGTCAAAATGGGGAGTCCCCGGTTTTCCCCGGCATCCCCCGGATCCTGCCCAGACCCCCCTGGGGAATCAGGATGCTTTCTTTTGACCCCACTAGAAACCTATCAGTCTTCGCTGTTAGGTAAATATCACGCCAGGATTTCAAGGCAGAAGTGCACCCTGAGATGTATCGACCCATTCCCCAGGACCAGGTTTTCATCCTCAGTGGGTTTTTTGATGGTCCCCAGGCCGGCCGAGGGTCTCCAGAGGCCGAAAATATCAACAAAAACACCAGCAGTGTCTTCACGACGCGAGGGGGTCTGGGTTCCCTGAGATCCGACGTTGCAAAACAATTGCAACATTTCATTTCAAAAACTTACCACCAGAGCCCCGGACCCCATCTTTCTGCATCATTTTCCGCGCCGGATCGATCTGCGAAGGCCCCGGGGCCCGAAATCGAGCGAAGACGCCCCGGTGGGGAAACATTGCAACGCCACGCCAGGACCTCAGGGTGTTTTTCGGGTCTCCCCAGGAACACCCGGGCGTGGCCACGATCCTGACGAACCTCGGCATCGCCCACGGCCAGCTGGGCGACGCCCCCCGGCGCGAGGAACTGCTGCAGAGGGCGCTCCGGATCCAGGCGGGCAGTCACGGCTACGACCGCCACGCCGTCGAGACGACCAAGTTCAACCTGGCCCACTCGATGTTCGCCCAGGGCAAGAAGGCCACGGGCATGCCATGGGAGGAGGGCCCTGAGTCCCTGAGGTCAGGGTGTTGCAATTCTTTCCAAGCCAGGCGATTTTGCCCAGTCTCG